CCCCTCTGGATCCTCCACCCTCCGCTTCCCCCCTTGTCCCGCATGGCCCGCCTCCCCCCCGCGCGCAGACCTCTACGCCCACGACACGGCGCTCACGCACCCGCTCGTCTCGCCGCTTGCCGCGCGCGATTGGCAGAACAGTCCCCCCGTGTTTGTCAGTGTCGGGCAGGAGATGCTGCGGGACGAGGATGCGGTGTTTGCGCGGCGGATGGCGGGTCAGGGGGTCAGGGTCAGGTGGTGCGAGTTTGAAGGGATGCCGCATTGCTTTGCCATGGTGTTGGGATTTTTGAGCGCCGCGGCTGTGCATCATGCCGAGTTTGCCCGGTTTTGTGTGGATGTTGTTGGGCGGGGGGGTGTTGCTGTGGAAGATGGGGAGGAGCAGAGTGTTGGTGGTGAGTCGGAGACGCAGACTGTTGTCCGTGAACGAGAAGAACAGACTGTAGACGTAAACGAAGCAAGCCAGTCAGCCACCAACAAACCAAGCCCTCGCCCAAGAACATCCGCTACCCTCGTCAAAGCGAAGACCTTGGAGCGACGCAACCTCGATATCCAAGCCCTCACCGCGATCACAGAAGACGATGTAGCCGCGTATATGCAAGAGGGGCAGAGAAGGATTAGGGAGAAGTTTCTTAGAGGGAGGGAGGGGAGTGCCGAGGTTAGACCTATGCTTTAGGGGGTTGTGGGGGTGGGAGATGGGGGGTTAGGCGGTTAGGGTGGGTTGGGTGATGTTGAAGATATGCGAAGGTGGATCAGGAAGACGGGCGGGGAAGTCTGGAAACAGACGTTCATATAACAAGTATATACATAGCAATATATTCACAATCCTGCAGTCTGTAAATCCCAAGTATGAAGACAAGACAAGACAAGACAAGACAAGGCAAGCATTTGGCAAGCGCTCTGTGCGTGTAGTCTGATGCAATTGGTATACAAACCACCCCCTAATGCCACACACCACCCCATCCAGCACCACAAACCCCTTAGACCTCAAACCCCCCTCCTCCCCCCAAAGGAAAAACTTCCATTCCAGCGCAATAATGACGAAAACATGCACATGAAAAATTCCAAAACGGGGTATTCAGCATCCATCTACCAAGAACAAACAACCCAAAAAAAGAAAAAGAAAAGGCCTCCCAGTCCCAGCCCAAATCCAAGCCAAACCAACCAGACCAGCCATCCAAACGATAAAGATAAGATGGCGATGATTAAAAAAACCCACTCCGTCGACGCCACAAACCAGGTGCTCCTGTTCCTAAAAAGGGGGCGAAAGAGGGCGTGAAGAAGGATGATATTCTCTCTCTTTCTCTCTCGTGTCACCATGTATACCCCTGCTCAAGAAGCATACTGCCCAATCTCTGATTGGGTCTAACGATGTTTTCAAAGCCAGGTCGAAGGCCAGTACCCGATCTATTTCGCGTTAGACATGAACTATGAATCTCGGGGCGTGATTTTGTTTTCCGGGGGTTGAAATGCTCATGATATCCCATTCCCCTCTTCCCAATGCCAAGCAAACCCAAAATTGGAGCCAAAGAAGAAGAATAAACAAAAAAAAACTCACTTAATCATATTAACCGCCATCGTCCTCACCTTATCCTTCAAATTCACTTGTGTCCGGTTTTGCAACACACCATACCCAGCATCCGAGGCATCAAAGACCAGGATCTGGGAGAACCGCGAAGGAAACATGGCCATGTATTCCATGAGCGCCTCTTCTTCGGCCGGAGACCAGGCTTCGCGCACTTTACGCTCGGCCTTCCGGGCTTGGAAGCGTTGGTTCTCCTGCGCAAGACGGTATTGGGCTTGGTAGGAGGATGGGGGCGGTAATTCCCTCGTGACGGAGGCGCTGCGTTCTTCGAGGGAAAGGGGCCGGCGGGGCGGGAGTGAGGAGGTGGGTTCGGCGGGGCAGGGCGGAGGTTGGTGACTTGGTGGTGCGGTTGAGGAGGCGGAGGAGGAGGAGGAGGGGTCCATGCGGACGCGTTTTGCGACGGGGGCTTTTTGTCGTTGTTGTTCGACGCGGGAGCCTCGGGCGTGCGTCTCGAAGACCTCGTCTTCTGAATCGTCGTCAGGAATGACGGGCCGCTTACGCTTCATGGGAGAAGACTGTGCTGGTTGTTTGCCTTTTGCTGTATTCGAAGGACCGGGGGTTGGCTGAGAGTCGTCGTCGAATCCATTGCCAAATTCAACCTTCCGAGCGTTTTCTTGTCGGTCGAATATTGATCTTACAGGACGGTTCTCTTTCTGTGGTTGGGAGACTTGTTTGAGTGCCTTGTACCATTCTGCTGGGTTCTGTGGTGGGCCGGCTGTGGCTGGCTCCTCGGCTTCCTCTTCCGCTTCCTCGATTTGTTGTGACTCTCGCTCTTTGGACACTTCATGCCGACTCTCTCCGACCAAGGTCACATTGTCATTGCCGTCGGCGAACGGATCCAAACCCCTGTCCTCCACCTCCTCGATCTGTTGTGGGACCGGCTCCTGCTCTTTGGGGACTTCAAGCTGACTCTCTCCAACCAAGGTCGCATTGTCATTGCCGTCAGCAAACGGGTCCATAACCCTGTCTTCTACCTCCTCAATCTGTTGCTCTTCTGCTTTAGGTTCGTTGTCATCCTGGTCATTCCTAATCATGGGCTCGGTAATATCCTCCTCAAGCTGCGGTATGATATCGACACCAGACGAAGAACCCGATGTTCGTTCCCTTGCCTTTAGTGCATCAATGGCATTCACATCTAGAGGGGCATTCGGATCAAATTTACGTTTAGTACGCCTTTTGTCTCTGCCAAAAGATTTCCGCTTCTTGCGTGGCAGTAGTGGAGCAGCTTGGGCGACGTCTGCTCTCTCTGTGGCGGAGTCGGTCTCCTCGATGGCCTGTTGTATGTAGCGCTGAATGACTGCAGGACCACCGAGCTCTTCGATAGCATTGGTCAACTCCATGCGTCGCAGACGAACCCAATGTATAAGTCGCAGAATGGTTGGCTCCCACGGAAATTGCTCTTCCAAGAAGGTAACTGCTTCGCCCGGAGATTTGTCGCCAACTAGAAAAGCGTCTCTGATCTCTTCGCATCGGCTGAAAACTTGCGCTTCGAGTTCTTGTGGCAACGAGGAATCGTCCCCTCCTAGCGCTGGAACATTCCAGCCGCGCAGAACAGAGACATCATCTGCCGTGGAAGCGTCTCGACGCAAGAATACCTCTTCAATCATCTCATCAGGACTGTCACCAGCTCGTTGGCGCGCAAGTACCAAAATGGCAAGCTGTGTCCGTAGCTCTAGCGCGAGCTCAAACGTCTCCTTGAACAGGCCAGAATCTCCACCAGCTGTTGGACTTGCGCCGGCAATGAGGGAGCGCATGAATTGGCTGGGAAAGGAGTTGTCAAGCTGTCGGAGAGCGTCCCAAGTTTCCTTTGAGTTGCGGGCCGAGTAGATGGTTTGCTTGAGAAATATGAGTGCATTGGTGAGATAGAGTATCAGGTCCAAGCCAGTTTGCGCCGCTACCACATCTCTGTTGGGTCCAAAGAGGGCGCGATGGAGAGCGCGAATATGTATGTACGTGTTTTCCTCGTTCTTGTAATGCCTCAGATACACATTGAGCACGGCATCAAGGTCTCGGTAGTCCTCGGTAAATTCGGCTTCTGGCTTCTGGAGCTCGCGAATGTTTATCAAATCCTCGTGCATGTCAGCACCGTCAGGCGCAAGGTGGTCCAAGAAAGCCAGGGTGGAGTCGCATAATCTGGGCAAATGCTTGAGGATGTATTTGGGCTCTAGGAACTCGGCTTCGACCATGCTGAAGGAGGAAATGGCGGTAGTGCCCGACATCTCGGAGAGGGCACCAGGTGAGCGGAATGGGACAGGTATTTCGGGCGCAAGCTTTGGAGGCGTGGCAGGGACTTGATGGAGCTCTTCAATCGCGGTCTGGGTCGTGTCCAGTTCCTCGACTGTAGTGAGGTCTGGGGTGTTTCTATCAGCTTTGATGACCAGTGTGGCGCATATCCACGCGCATGAGGCCTGCGCAAGATCTGGTAGTAGACATGTCTGTCTAGTGAAGTAGGTACTAACCTCCAGGGATTTCTTTGGCAGGCTTCCGTCTGGTCCTGCGCGCCGCTTTTTTGGTTTCCAGGTCACTGTCGTTGGTCACAGAGGTGACGCTTGCCTGTCGGGCACTTCGGCGAGTCGGTTTTTGCACGTCTAGACTCTCATTGAGATCGCGACTTGCGCTGCGCAAAGTCCTGGCTCTTGGTGCGCGTGTAGGCTGGGGCTGGGTGGTGGGTACTTGGTTTGGCAGTTGCGGGGTGGCTGTCCTGCGGCGGCTTGAAGCACGCACGCCTCTCCGGTCGGCCATTGTCGTCTCGGCGATCAATGAGTGAGCGGGTGGTGTGAGCGGGTGGTAGATTGCGACGAAGGCTATTATGTGGGAGTTTGTGCGGGGTCAAGGCGGAGTCATGCGTGTTTGTTGTGATGATGAAGGTCGCGCGTGCGGCTAAGCGTCTTGGGGGGCTCTGCTTGACGGGTGCTCACGTGACTGGGGGACTAAGGAGCAAGGAGCAGGGAGCAGAAGACAGTGACAGTGCACAGGCTTTTGGCCGCAACCGGCATGGATTCTTGGGTTCGAAGCGGGCATGTGGGCACTGGGCGCCTGCAAAGGAGAAGGAGAAGGAGAAGGAGAAGGAGAAGGAGAAGGAGAAGGAGAAGGAGAAGGAGAAGGAGAAGGAGAAGGAGAAGAGAGCAAGTTGGCGATTGGCAGTGGGAAGCCCTGCTTGCTTGCCGAATGCTTGAGCCTGAGACGGCAAGGGGAGCGCCACTTTTGTTGCAAAGCCACGGCTGGTTCGGTACTGTGTATAGATAGTATATAGACTGTGGTACTGTAGAGTACAACATCTACGCAGGAGAGAAGTAGACCAGTTACTCCAATTAGTCGCTCAAGGTACCTGCTGTACTCCCACGGCTCCTTTGCAGCCAAACCCTCCAAAGACACAGACAGCCATGGATGTGACTTGATCCTACACTCTGTCTACTCTACTCTACTCTACTCTACTCTACTCTACTCTACTCTACTCTACTCTACTCTACTCTACTCTACTCAACCCAACACCCCCTTTACTCGCCGCTCGTAGACCTTGCACAGCCCTGTAGATACAATAAGGTACACATACAAATGTCGCGTTTGGCTGTCTTGCTGCTCTGCACGTCCCCCCTTCTCCCCCCCCCCTTGCGCGCGTCCAGACGGCTAGACTCCATGTACCTCTCTCTACCTGGAGTAGTCATCTCATCCATTCGCTCCTAAAGCTGACGTCGAATCAGTTTTGGTTGGAGAGAAAAAAAAGCAGCTAGACAGGACGGTCCCCTGGACTAACCAACCTCTGCTCAACATCTTTGCCTGTCAAAACACACTACTCCAATCACCATTGCAACACACTTACCGGTACCTTGCAACACACTTACCTGCTGCTTCTTTCTCTTCTTCTTCTTCTTCTTCTTCTTCTTCTTCTTCTTCTTCTTCTTCTTCTTCCACTTCTTCCACTTCTTGACCTTCGTTTCAAGTGGCTGAATGGCCAATCGCATCGCAGTCGCCGCCCATCGTCACCACGCTCACCCTCTGGCACCCACTAGTTCCCCTTCAACACGCCTGTGTGGCCTCAACTCCCAACGCATTCACCATCCACCACACCCATCCACATTCACCACCACGATGAGAATACGGCCGTCACGGGCGCGGGCGCTGCTCGTCCTCTTGCCCGCATTGCACGTCGTCGTCGCATCCTCGATTGGCATCGACACACATGACGCACCGGCTGCACACGCAGTAGCCCCAGCCTACACCAAACTTGCCTCCCTTCCCGAATCCTCGCCTCTGTCCTCGACACCAGCCTCCAAGGGCACCAAAGATGCTCCCGTCGATGGCATGGATGGCAAGCCTCATGCCGGGCCCTACGTCGACAAGAAGCCGACGCCGCAAGAGAAACAGTCGAATGTGGTCGAGGACTTGGGCAAAAAGCCCACAGGCCAGTCGACAGGCTCCATCCTGGTGGGCGCAGACGACGAGGTGCTGGATGGCGACAAGAGCGTCATGCAGGACCCTTCGAGAAAACTGGCGACTGGCAGCAAAGGCACCGAGGGCGGCGTGTCTGCCAAAGACAAGGAGCGTCTGGCCCATGAGGAGAAGACGGGCGAGAAGAAGGAAAACGTGCCCGAGTCGCCAAAAGAGGCGCCGCCACAACCACACGATCAGAAACAGCTCATGAGCGCGACTACCGACACAGAGACGTCAAGTCGTGTCCTGGGTGCAGGCGGTCTCGAGGTACGTGACGTGAGACTACACCAATCCCCTTTTACACTACTAATAGCCACAGAAACCAACCAATCTCCCCGACACGCCTCATGACATGCCACTCCCCCTCCCTGGCTCGCTTGCCGACAAAGATCCTCTCGACACCACATCCAAACAGCCCAACGACGACACGGACCGCTCTA